CATATTGCCCCCTTTATTGTGTATATAATTACGGTGATATCACATGCACAAGGCCATGTCATGTTGGGAATTACATAGTATGACTCAATATTAATAAATAAATAAATATAATATTATTAGTTAATTATTAAATAAAAAATTAATTATATGTGTCACATCAATCGTTACATTATGTTATGTACAATTTTATATACTTCTATAATTTTAAAAAATAAATGCATACAATATTATTATTATTTTTTTTTTATCAACAAGCACCTCTTCACATAGATACCCCATATTAAGCCGTTAAGTTTTTTTTTTTCTTCCCCTTAATTGGTGGGTTATATCTTTTCCATTCATTTTCTCATATTATTCACATCTAAACCTTTCATCTTTTAAGGAACCAAACCTTTAAGTCCAATGGTTCGTCTTCAAGTCTTAGTACTTGAATTTTGTTAGTAAAAAGTTCAACTCTCACCAATAACTTAAAAAAATTCCTCATTCCCATATTTCCCTATGTTCGAAAAAAAAAAAAAAAACCTTTCATCTTTTGAGGAAAGGAAATTATTACAAAATTATTGCCTTACTGGGTGGATAAATAAATTTAGATGGAACATCTTTGAACTTAATTAAGATTAGTGTTAGTAAATGAGCTCGAGTTTGAGCTTTAGATATTTCAAACAGAACCTAAGTTTGGGAAAGGCTAAATTTTCAAATCTACAACTTAAATACAAGAGTAAAAACATATCCGCTACTTAAAAAAAATAAAGATAAATTGTTCACTAAATCATAGATTGAAACAAATGGTCCATTATTTAATGGTTGACGTCATCATACGTCAAAAATTTGTTTGTCACCTAAACCTATCTTTAATTAAAAAGCTAACATGAATGACATCAACCGTTAAATAATAAATTATTTGCCTCAAGTGACAATTTAAAGGGACACAATTTGTCCATATTTTCTTCAGATGATAAATTTATTATTACCACCCTATTTAAGAAGTGCATTTGAGGGTTCCACCTTTGAGAAATGATTGTCCTTCCACAAATGGACGAATCCAACTAAGGAAGGAACAAATGGAAGTCTCAATCTCTTCTTTGCAAAGGCCAGGGGAAGCATGTGATAGAGAGTTACTCGACACATGATTTTGATCCCCATATGCCATATATCCGTATTTTATTCATTTACTGTTCTTGTTTTCACTTATAATGTATTAATTGATTGATGTTGATTTTTGAACTTCTCCAAATTCAGTTTTCTTTTCCCAAGTTGATGTATGCTACTACTCTCATCCTGTTTTTGCTTATTCAGTGTCCAATACAAAACAATTAGACTTAATTATATTAAAGAGCCATATGGGTGTAGTCAACACCTTCTTCACACATCATTGCATTCAAGTCTGAACATATGCCAAGGTATACAATTATTGTAAATCTCCTTGTTTTGATTTAATAAAGACTAATGTTTGATTCTTGTGATAAGCCGCTATGAAGAGCTAATTCTTCCTTGCATTATATTTGAGTTTGGAGGTGGCCTTAAAAAAAAAAAAAGAGAGAGAGAGGGTATTTTGGTACCTTACTTGGATACTTTAAAATTTTAAAAAGGAAAGGATACAAAACGGGTTTTGATTTTTTTGACAGTGAAAATCTTTTAATAAATCTTACAATATTCATATGACATTAATTGAAGGAATGTATATATACGATACCATGCATTTCATCCAAATTAAAAGAACTAATAAAAATTATATCATGTTCTGTTAGAACTTAGAAGATCTTATTTTCAGAAAAAAAATTGACAATAAATTGTTTTCCATATAAATTAAGTTAATGATATACTTCAATGCGTACAATGCCACTTTGGATTGTAAAGTTTTAATAGTGATGTGTTATTAAATAAATGAATGTATATAATATTATATATTAATTTAAATAAAAAATTAATTTTTTAATGACACTTTATGGAATTATAAATATACAATGACATATAACATTATAAAAATCTCATGTAATAACATGTTATGATATTATAAATATATCACTTTTTAAATGAAAAATTGGGTGGATTGTTTCCCATCATGAGATAATATTTACTTTAACCATTTGAGTTTATGGTTTTACCCTGAACAGGATTTTGTAGAAAAATGTCTAGGCTTTTACAAGTAACAACTATCCTTAATTTTCATTTGACATTGAATTGTAACCTTACACCTTAGTACTAATATGATTTTGGCCAACTTGAAAAAGGCCAGAAAAAGTTGATGATTTTGTATTCTCTAACAAAATTACAAACAAATAAGACCAACTTACCTCTCATTCACTTTCAATGATGCTAACTTCTACTTTGATTCAGCATGTTGGCGGAGATAAGGGGACCTGGCATCATGTCCCCCTAAAATATTGAATAAAAAAATTTACGCCAAATTTTAAAGTTAAAAAAATTCAGTATATTTATTTGTCCTCCTTAAAAAATTACTAAATAACATGTATTTAATTAAATATTTTAGACTAGGAGAATAGAAGTTGTAGGGCCTGCCGTTATATTTAAATATTTTAGGTAGTTAACTCAATCCACTTAATTACTTGCTCTCCTTCCATCCAAATCATTCTTCAATTAGCATTAGTTTTTGGGTTACTCTATCCTATACCCTGTATTAAGAAATAATTATTAATTAATAATTATTTTTTAAAAAAAATATAAAATTTTAAATTAAAAAATAAATTTTGATTTTAATTTTAAAACAAATGAAAAAAAAGTTGACACATAACATTTGTGATTAAAACAAAAATTAACTTTATTATTTTTAAAATAAAGATAATAATAATTATATAATAATTATTTTTTATCTTCTATCCTATAAATATAAAATAGATAAATCTTTAATTTTTTTTACTTCTATACCTGACATACAATAATATAATCTTTTTAAAATCCTTTTTCTCGGGATAAGAGTCCCTTTTAAATTGGGCTTTTAAAATTCTTTATAAACTGTAGCTTTCAAGCGTTGCCATGTCTTTTGAAAAATCAAAAAATTTATTATTCTATTTTATAATAAAATTTTTAATAATATATTATATTATAATTTGTAACTATTGTATTATGGTAAAGAATTATGGTTTTAATTAATAAATTGTTTTTGAGTTGTTGACTTAGCTTTCATTTATCAGTGTTCTATTGTAATTATAAGTTTTTTAATTTTTTATTATCTAAAAAATACATAAAATATTAATTAAAATTAGTAAAAATACACAAAATAATTAAAATTAATTAAAAATTAGAAATTTATATTTTTAGATAAAATATTATAAAAACAAGGTCTAAAAAAAAAAACATCGATAAACAAAACCTTAATTTGTAAATTTGTTAATTGATTCTAAATATTTATTATACTATTGCTAATTTTAGACTTTTAAATAGTTAAGTTCAGATTTTAGACTTCAAATTTTATTGTACTATTAATTTCACAAATGAACTAAATGCATAATATCACAAAATTAAAAGAGAGCAACCCAATAAGGTTATAAATAACATATTAACTATTGCCTTTGGTTGTGTCATGGTAGGAATTGAGAAGAAATAAAGGTTTGTTTTTAGCCCATGTCCCCACTACAAATTCTGGCTACACCTTGGTATACCTTAGAATGTTCGAGTTGAACAGAAATGTCTCGGCCGCCCACCAAGCCAAGTGATTAAATTGGGAAATTTTTTTAATTAAGATGATGCTTCGACGATCAGAGAAAACAAAGTTATTATTTGTTAATAGGTCAACATTAAGTTTTAAAATTTTGTACCGTTTTGAAGCATCCCCTTCCATTTAATTAATTTGAGGATTTTCAAAATTTTTGTTATATATAGGATTAATATTCGAAATTTGAATGTACAACATTTAAGTTCATGAACCATCTAATTTTCTAGTTTAAAATCAATTCACATTATTTTATTAAGTTCCAAAAATAAAATATTTTTAGCAAACATACAATATTGGGAAAACTACACTTGTGAGTTGTGATTATTAGGTATGTGCGTTTCACCTCTGCAACTTTGAAGGATAAAAAGTAAGGTTCGTTAGGGCAATTCCAAACTGGTCGCGCTACCTCAGCATGGTCAAGCTGAATTAGAAAAGTGAGGTTTTGTGTCTATGTGCCAAGAAATTCTTTTATTCAATGGGATATATCATAAACAATATTTACATCTATTAATGTAGTGATATATTAATTTGTGTAACTCTCATTTAACTAAAAAAAATAATTTATTATTATTCATTAATTATTTAATTATTAGGAATAACCACACATGTTAATATGTGACTATATTAATAGATAAAAATATTGCTAAACTAGTACCTCCATGGTATCATGTATCAAAGAATTTCTCTTTGTGCCACAAAACAAGCTTCTCAACATAACTAATGCAATAGTGAGGCGGCACCTAAAAATTGCTCCCAGAAAAACCTGTAAGTTCCCCTCGTATGGAAGCATAAATTCTCTCTAAATTTAACTGCAACAATTGATATAAAATTAAGCCCAAAACTCAAGAGCTCCTAACCTAACTTTGCCACGAATCCCAGGAAGCGTTCTTGAAGCAATCTCCTTGTTTTGTTTTATCTTTTCTTTGAAGTTGAAGCAATTGCTATTAAATATGGTAGTACAGTCTTCCACCAATATTCAATGACCTCAACTGAACAGCAATAAATATTATTGGCAAAAATTTAATACACATGGTATATAATAAAAAAAATGTTTTCTAATTTACACTATATTTGATTCACAATATAAATTATTAAATAGTTGAATTTTTTAATATTAAAAATTATTTTTCATCCAATAATTTTTATTTTATTTTATATTATTATTTTATAATTTAATTCAATGCAAATTGTAAAATAAAATATTGATAAAAAAAAGTAAGAAAAGAAAAAAAAAAAATCAAACTGAATAGTAATCAGTCCCCATTGTCTCGCCACTCCTTTAAAATCTTGCCCCCTCCACAGCCTTCTCTGACTCCCCATTTAATGCCCACATAGACAATTTCCTTCCTTCAAATTTTCATTTCAAAAACCCTCCAAATTGTTCTTTGAATCCAAACAGAGCAAAAACAGAGAACCCGATATGGGAAAGAAGATGAAGCTTCTTCCTTTTCTCTCTCAGAAGTCCTCTTCCTGGCCATGGCCGTCCTGTCACCAACACCCGAGAACACTTTCTTTTAGGGGGGCCAACGAAGGTATCTTTAAGACCATCAACTCGGAATACATCGACGAAGAAACAGAAACGCCTGACTCCTTCTTCACCAGTTCCTCTAAATCTCCAAGCTTCTCCAATGAATCCGATGACACCGCCGCCGGGGGAGGTGATTCTGTTGAGAATGTCATTCGTGGGTTGAAGTCGGAGAGGTTGTTCTTCGAGCCGGGGGAGACAAGCTCCATATTGGAAGAGGTGAAGGCGAGCTCTGCATTGCCTTCGAAACAGGGTACTGTGTTTTTGTCAATGGAATCCATAGACCCTTTCATGGATTTCAGGATGTCCATGGAGGAAATGGTGGAGGCACGTGGGCTAAAAGATTGGGGGGCACTTGAAGAGCTTTTATGTTGCTACTTGAGAGTTAATTCAAAGAGCAATCATGGGTATATTTTTGGTGCTTTTGTTGATTTGCTTGTTGGACTTGCTATTTCCTCTACCTCTTCTGCTCCCGCTTCTGCTTCTGCTTCTACTTCTACTAGTACCCCTTATTGTTCTTGCTCTCATTCTCCTTCTTCTCCTCTATCTTTTTACACTTCTTCTTCCTCTGAGGATTCCTCTCCAACTCCTTGTGTTTCTTCATTAGAAGCTGAGGAGGTTGATAATGTTCATTGTTTATCTTCCTCATTAGAAGTTGAGGAGATTAGAGATGAAGTTTGAATTTGATTCAGTCAAAAAATTTGTGCATAGCCGGTAATTTTGATCAATAATATTGCAAATGATTTTATGACTTGGCCTCTACTTTTCTCTCGTTTGTCTCTTAGGCAAACAACCACATATCTCCACATGCACCCATGTGAGGTTAGAAGTTGCTTTCAATTTCCATTGCAGTTAATTATGTACAATGGAAATTTCTTGGCAATTTCAAGCTTGCTCTTGCCATTTTTGGCAAGAAAATTGATTTTTTAACCATGTTTCTTGACAATGAAGTCTAATAATATAACTCAATATAATTTTATTGATTTTTTTAATTTAATGTGAAATATGTTATATAATATATATCTACTCATTTAATTTTATGTAAATATTATAAAATTTACAATCAATTTTCATTGTCAAAAAATCACAACTGTTTTGGGAAAACCATTTTGTTCCAAGATGAGAGAAATGGTCAACTTCAAGGGATTTTATTACCACTAGGTAAGAAAATTTTGCTTTCCACCTAATCAATCACGATTTTTTGATGCTCGACTAAAGCCACACAAAAGTAATTTATTGTGAATCCTCAATATCAGCATAATGAAACTATCCTTGTAATAAAAGGGGTGCCATAGGGGTAATTTTTTAATATTATTTTTTTATACAATTTTTACATATCATTAAATAAGTAGATGCATTTAATAACATTGATTTTACATGAACAAAAAAAATCAATTATTTAAATGACGTGTCAAGTTGCATCAAAAAGTAGTATAAAAAAGTTATATATTTCAAAATCATTTTTCATAATAAAATAAATAATTATATATGTCAAAATCATTTTTCATAATAAAATAAATAATTAATTATGAGTTATTATAAAAGTAAGAATTTATTTATATATAAATTTTACATATCATATTTATATAAAATATTAATTATTTATTTTTTTATTTTTAATGATTGAACTTATTTACATTTATTAAAAATAATTAATTTTTATCTAAAAAATCGTAATAAATTTTAATGGTTAAAAATAAAAAAATAAATAATTAAAATTTTATGTAAATATAATATAAAAAATTTATAAGTAAATAATTCTCTCCTCTTGTTACTGTTACGATTATTAACATCTCTTTCCATTACATAAGACAAATTCAGGAAACCCTAAATCAAGCGATGAGGAGGAGGCCAAGAGCATTGCTTCAACGGCATTTTGTCTTAAAGAAACGTACTGAGTTCCATGTGGGGTTACCTATGAACTTCCATTTAATAATTGAATGGGAAGATTATCATCCTATGAAGAGCAAATCATCCAAACGCACATGTACTCACATTGATTGAGCAAATATCCACCATTGGATACATTTCAAATGGCATTGCATTTCTGTGTTTTGGAAGATCCTGACACAGATTTGATTGTGAGAAGAGAGATCGAAGCCGTTTATTTCAAATTAAACAGTCGTTATCAGTTGATAGGTACAATCCAATGCAGAAATTTGGCATCCTTCTACACTCATATCATAGCACCTGCGACATTATCGTCGTAATCCCACAAGTTTGAGAATATTTGCAGTTTTGGATTAGACTCCTTCGCATGTTTTTTTGCTGTAAGATAAAATGTCTCTACATGAATCTTTGGAATATTTTTCGTAAAATCTGAAACAAAAGGAAACCCATCTGCACCCTGCTTTCATCTTTTTTAACACTAAAAGACTTCTGCAGACCTGTTCAATTTCCCCTTTTTAGAAGAGATTAAGAGGTACAAACATGCTGAATATGATCATACAAGTATATTGCATCAATGTGCTGGATCCTCTTAGAGTTTGGTTGTAAAATAAGTCAAACGGAGTAAGTTGTGTTGGGCTTCTTGAGCTTATTATTTCGTTACATTGTATCAAATATGAGACGTTACATTTTTAGAGGATGATATAAAAGTTAGAACGTCAACTTTTAAAATCAGATATTTCAAATTCAAAACATCAAATAAATAGGTATGGCATATTGGGTACCTAACAATTCATATATATATATAGATGGCCTTTGTCCATCATTTATTAAGTTCAAGCAAGATGTCATGGGAAAAAACAAGAAAGAATTAATGTACGTCTTACTGCCCAGAGAAAAGAGAGTATGTGGTGTTAAGGGAACTGATTGGTTGAGAGATCAACGGTATAAATAAAGTTTTTTTAATACTTTGTGCGCTATAAATTATGAGATGGTTCTCTTTCTTTTTTAAATGTGATATAAATATATATTTTTTATTTTAATTGTATAATAAAAAATAATTATTTTTTATTTTTCATTTCATTTTACTTATATATCATGCATGTAATTCAAGTTTAAAATTTTTTATTTTTAATAAAAAAATAATTATTAAATTACTTAGATTGTTGGCCTAAATATGATATAAATATTCGTTCAAACTAAGCCACCAATTCAATTTTCTCTGTAACGGCATTAATTCCTATGAACTTTATGATTGGGGCAGGTGGTTATGACAACCATAAATTTCTGCAGTATTTATTTAGGGTAATGATTATTATAATGAATTTATAGTAAGTATTAATTATTGGATGGATATATATGATCAATTTTTATTTACAATTATTCTACACATTTAGGTAAAGTGGTTAATCACTTTTCTTTTTAAGTGGGAACACTCCCGAATTTGAGTTTCGATTCACTAAGATGACACATTTTCTCCTCTTCCTTAGAATATTAGGACTATTTGTAACTTGTTTGAAAAAAATTAATATTAAAAATTATTTTTGTTTTATTAACTAAAATTTAATTTTTTCAGAGAGATTAAAGAAAAAAATTTCTTATAAATTTTTTAATTTTAA